ATAGTTGAAAATTAAATTGTAGGTAAAGATAAAAATAAATATTTTCAAAATTGGTACAATATTAAAACAAACAGGATATTGATTGGGTCTTATTTTATTACATATATAAACTATTGTATAATTTTATATTTGAAAAATAATAAGCTATTTTTTAAGACAATTATTAAAAGCAATCTAAAATTATTGATTTTCTAAGAACCTTTGTAATTCTGATTATTATTCAGAATACATGCAATAAAAATTTATTATAATATAAAGCAGGAACTCAGCAGTTATACAGTACCAATAATTCTCAAAACAAAATTCAGCTTTTATATACTTTTTTATAAGTTTAATTTTATAATAATTGCTTTTATCAAATTTTCACTAAAATAAAATAAATCATTATATCAAGAATTTGTAATTTAATATGAGAACATGTTTTCAAATCATTTTATATTTACGTTTTAATATGTGACTCTACTTAGTGTGATGAAATTAAAATATATCGAAGCGTCAGAAAATTTTGTATTTTAAGAAACACGAATATTTAACACACCAAATAATAAAATTTCATAATATAATTGATATATTCTCTTAGCACTTAATTACACAGTGGAGAAAAACTTAAATTCTATTAAGTTATTCATTTTTTTCTATAAAATTCTTTGAAAAATCAATAATACGTAGCCTTTCTCAAATCGAAAATGTTTTGTGTGTTTAAAATTCAATATAAAAACAATAAATAAGAAAAGTATATTTTTGTTATTTGCTTAATCTGATATATATTTTAAGATATTTATTATGTTTATTAGAACTACTTTCTTTAATAAATCTATTCAAAATTTTAAGCAAGTTTTGTTTCTTACTTACATTAAAAATTTTTATTCATTAGTGTCTTCTGATATTTTAATAAAATTCTTTAACAACGTTTGATATATGATTAAATTTTATGTATTCACTTTATTTTACTTGTTTACTTTCTATTTTACTTAATGAAAAGCAGAATTGCTACTATTCTATTTGAAAGACACACCAATTCTAGCATCGTCAGGTTTTTGTTGTTTTGCAAATGAAATATGTAAATTCAGGAGTCTAGAGATTATTTAGCATAATAATTTGAAAATATTTATTGTCCTAAGAAAATTTTTTTCTCGTGTTTAAAAATCAATAATCAATAAATAAAGTCAATAAATTTCAGTAAAAATTTTATTTTTACTGAAATATATTGATTTGTCAAACAAATTGACAAAAACTTAAAATTATTTTTTAAAAAAATAATATAATATTCACAACATTCTTTCTAATTGTTTCTTACATAAATTTTAATAAAAGTTAATTTACATATATTTAATATGACAAAACTTGTCAAATATGCTTCAATTGCCACAGTCTATCCGAGGATATTAGAGACAAACAGGAGACAATAAAATGCCTTTATTTAAAATTATTTTCTTTATAAATTATCAAAATGCATTTTGGCATCGTTTACCTTAAGCCCTCTCAATAGTACAAAATTAATTTGTAAATTGTTTTAGAACCGAAGAGGTCTTAAAGTAAATGAAGCCAAAATGCATTTTGATAATTTAAAAAAAAAAAAAACAATTTTAAATAAAGGCATTTTATTGTCCCTATTATCTATTTGACAAGTTTTGTCATATTAAATATTGGCAATTTTTTTATTACTTGTCTTATTTATTCTTTTGAAATATATTTAGAACTTTGTAATTAAGAATTGAAATAAATGGGGGAAAAACACGAATAATAATCAATTATATTGTTTTATTTTCAAACTTAATTTTTTCTATGGTATTTTCTTCAAATAAGAAAATACCACAAATTTTTTGTATCTTCATCCATTTAATTAAAATTGCTTCTTGTTTCTGATATTCCTACAAAATAATATCCACTATCAGATGAATATCAGAATGCTTAAGATAAAACTTTTTTTTATTAAATTCAGTATGTGAACTGGAAAGAAGTCTCCAAAATCTAGAATTGTACGACATATATTCTGTGGTTTTGTTTTTGTGACATTCAATTACTTTATTTTCTTTTAAACCTTCAAATAATTTCTTATAGTTCTGGTATTATCAACTTCTCTCCGTCGGCTCATTTAATCTATAGTTCAGGAACTAAACGATTTATTAAATTAAACTTTTGGAAAGTTTTACCGTCGGCAAAGTATACCGTACGAGACGACGACGGTTCGGAACTTCTAACGAATTTTCGGCCACTTAACAGAAGATTACGGAAGAAACTTATTTTTTCTCGGAGAGATTAATTAAAACAAAGAGCAAAATTGTGTTTTACACAAAATTTCCTGTTTACTAATCATCATATAATAAATCCAGTTCTCATCAATTTACATCACTTCGATTAAAAAATATCTATATAAATTAGTTTACCAATGACGCGTGGATGGAATATAGCAGAAAACTAAACAAACTGCAATTGATACTTTAAAATCGATTAATGGAACAAAGTTGTGGGAAGATTTATTGAACTTACCCTAACTGGTGTAAAAATATAATAGCAAAATACGTAACAGAGTTGAAGTATGACACCAATGCTATTGACCATGATTACCACAGCATCGTGAACGAACAAACCGTACTGCAACCAAAGGGATGCGCTGGGAAAAGCAACGAATAGTTAGTTAATGGCAAATATCAACATTGGCAATTCTTATAAGTGCAAAAGTTTACCTGACCAGACCGGCAATGAAAGGGAAGAAAGATATATCTGTACTGGAACCTTGTCTCCAGATTTTTAAACAGATCTGCCTGGGAACACAAGCAAAAGATAAGAATATAATCCTTTCAAATTCGTCGACAAGTCTAAATCTATTTAAAGCTACTTACACGCCAGTCAGGAACATTATTATGGTAAAAACCGTGGCCAGATGGCCCACCATAACCTGAAAATTTGTAAATTCTTCCATTTTAAAAATGATTATTTACATCATTTTCATACACGTCATGTTATAAGGCAAGACGAGTATAGTGATCACACGCACGGGAATCGCCGTAACCTCCGATAGGTGGCGCAGGTGTATCTGTGAACTAACGACATTAGTCGCTATCGTTAAAAACAATTAAAAAATAATAATAATTTTTTTTATGATATTAAAGATTCGACGCTTATTAATATTTTTAATTGTATAAATTCATTCATTTGTCCGAGTTAAATGTTTTTTTAAATATCTACTTATTAGAAAACCCTAACAATAATTTCGTATGTAAGCCGATTTCCAAAATCGTTATTCAAGTTGCTTTCTGGATAATGATTACGTGGCCTTCTCAAATATGACAATTAGATACCGGTATTTGTTTTTAATTGTGGACTTGTGAACAGAATGATAAAAAAAAATAAAATTTAATAAATCTGTATGTTTGCTGCTTGGTAAAACGTCCTTTGAATATCCATTTGAAACGGGCACAAATTATTTAATTAATTAAAGCACTATGACACGTGACTTTTATAGCGGACACAGATTGTTATTCTGGAATCCCGTCCAAAATGTTGATCGCAAAATCCTAGGATTAGCCAGACCGCAATTATTAGAATATAAGGTGAACTCCCATAAGTGTGTCGAAAAAGTGTCTAGAGACAAACTTTGCCACTAGGGCGACACTGCCGGTAAGTTAGGCTTAGAAAGCCTATAATGAAAAAGTGACCATATAAGGAACGCTTTTCTATTGGATGTTTTTGATCAGGTGACTTTAATCTGCTATTCTTCTAAACAACGTGTTAGCGAGATTGGAACGAAGCTTCGTATCGTTTATATGTTTGTTATCTACAAACAAATTAAAATTAATAAAAGGTTAGTGATATTAATTAAGAATATATAGACAATATTTCGGCTAATGACGATATACTGTTTATTTATATTAATTTTAAGTTTTTGAGTTTTATGCGAGTTGTTACATACTGATATTTGGTAGTTAAGTAAGAAGTTATTTGATTATTTCTTACAATGAAATGTAATATAAATGACACAAGACTTTCTTTACATCTGTTTAATTCCGTTTTACCATTTGCCGAGACGTGTTTCGGGTCTTTGCCCCTCTTCTGTCGGCTACAATCAAAAGATGTAACGATTTACAATGCAACATTTAAAATAACAATTGCTTAACAAAGAACGTACCTTTTCCCATTAAGGTGCTATACATTTAGTTATCCGAAAAGTATAATAGTATAGCCTTCGCCTTTAAAACACTAAGATACATATAAAAACTAAGGTTCTTAAACGGCACTTAGTTCCAATTTTTCAGCTCAAAGTGCTGTTTAAGAACCCAAATTTTTATATGGATCTGTTTCAAAGGCGAAGGCCATACTATTATACTTTTCGGAAAACTAAATGTATAGCACCTTAATTAATGGGAAAATGTACGTTCTTTGTTAAGCAATTATTATTATAAATGTTGCATTGTAAATCGTTACATCTTTTGATTGTTTGTAGCCGACAGAAGAGGGGCAAAGACCCGAAACGCGTCTTGGCAAATGGTAAAACGGAATTAAACAGATGTAAAGAAAGCCTTGTGTCATTTATATTATACTTCATTGTAAGAAATAATCAAATAAGATTGACACGGTTTCACATAAAAAAGAAAAATAAGACGTTATTGTTTAGTTTAACTTATTTTACACTTTAATAACTCTTAGAATGTGACTGGATGTGCTACTTTCGGCTGCATAAATCGCAGCCAGAAAGGATTTTTGATGAAAGTTTTTCCGAAAGATCCTGCATGTCGTAAATTTTGGGAAACAAAAGTGAAATAAAACTGGAAAACAACCGACTGTAACTATTTATTTGAGGTAAGTGAAATATTAACAATCATCTATTATGTAAAATTTTTATTTTATATTCGGATGATAGATTCATTCATAAAACAGTCCAAAATTTTTCAAAATTTAAATAAAAAAATCAGTGTACATAAATTAATGAGAATATTGATATAGTTTAATATTTATAATATGTGATATACAATATCTGCTATGAAACTTCTTAATTATACGCTATTGACCATGATTACCACAGCATCGTGAACGAACAAACCGTACTGCAACCAAAGGGATGCGCTGGGAAAAGCAATGAATAGTTAGTTCATGGCAAATATCAACATTGGCAATTCTTATAAGTGCAAAAGTTTACCTGACCAGACCGGCAATGAAAGGGAAGAAAGATATATCTGTACTGGAACCTTGTCTCCAGATTTTTAAACAGATCTGCCTGGGAACACAAGCAAAAGATAAGAATATAATCCTTTCAAATTCGTCGACAAGTCTAAATCTATTTAAAGCTACTTACACGCCAGTCAGGAACATTATTATGGTAAAAACCGTGGCCAGATGGCCCACCATAACCTGAAAATTTGTAAATTCTTCCATTTTAAAAATGATTATTTACATCATTTTCATACACGTCATGTTATAAGGCAAGACGAGTATAGTGATCACACGCACGGGAATCGCCGTAACCTCCGATAGGTGGCGCAGGTGTATCTGTGAACTAACGACATTAGTCGCTATCGTTAAAAACAATTAAAAAATAATAATAATTTTTTTTATGATATTAAAGATTCGACGCTTATTAATATTTTTAATTGTATAAATTCATTCATTTGTCCGAGTTAAATGTTTTTTTAAATATCTACTTATTAGAAAACCCTAACAATAATTTCGTATGTAAGCCGATTTCCAAAATCGTTATTCAAGTTGCTTTCTGGATAATGATTACGTGGCCTTCTCAAATATGACAATTAGATACCGGTATTTGTTTTTAATTGTGGACTTGTGAACAGAATGATAAAAAAAAATAAAATTTAATAAATCTGTATGTTTGCTGCTTGGTAAAACGTCCTTTGAATATCCATTTGAAACGGGCACAAATTATTTAATTAATTAAAGCACTATGACACGTGACTTTTATAGCGGACACAGATTGTTATTCTGGAATCCCGTCCAAAATGTTGATCGCAAAATCCTAGGATTAGCCAGACCGCAATTATTAGAATATAAGGTGAACTCCCATAAGTGTGTCGAAAAAGTGTCTAGAGACAAACTTTGCCACTAGGGCGACACTGCCGGTAAGTTAGGCTTAGAAAGCCTATAATGAAAAAGTGACCATATAAGGAACGCTTTTCTATTGGATGTTTTTGATCAGGTGACTTTAATCTGCTATTCTTCTAAACAACGTGTTAGCGAGATTGGAATGAAGCTTCGTATCGTTTATATGTTTGTTGTCTACAAACAAATTAGAATTAATAAAAGGTTAGTGATATTAATTAAGAATATATAGACAATATTTCGGCTAATGACGATATACTGTTTATTTATATTAATTTTAAGTTTTTGAGTTTTATGCGAGTTGTTACATACTGATATTTGGTAGTTAAGTAAGAAGTTATTTGATTATTTCTTACAATGAAATGTAATATAAATGACACAAGACTTTCTTTACATCTGTTTAATTCCGTTTTACCATTTGCCGAGACGTGTTTCGGGTCTTTGCCCCTCTTCTGTCGGCTACAATCAAAAGATGTAACGATTTACAATGCAACATTTAAAATAACAATTGCTTAACAAAGAACGTACCTTTTCCCATTAAGGTGCTATACATTTAGTTATCCGAAAAGTATAATANAATTTTTGTATTGAAATAACGTCACTCGCGGTATAAATTGGAAGTTCATATATAGGTAATCTGGTCCTTTTTCTCTTTCGATTTCCATGTTTGGTCTCAACTTTCATCTATCTAATTCTGTTCTCTAGATTAAGGGAGGACAGAGACGGACAGACGACTGGGAATTTATAGCTCTACAGTTTTTAAAAATTGCAGTTCAATAAGTATACTTCAGTAACCAAGTGGATAAAACCATCGAACACCGTTAATCGGTTGTGGGTTCGCGCGTGGTCAAGTGAAGTTTTCTGGGTTTTCTTCGAGTTAGTAACACTTCAATTGGAGCCAACTTTACATAAACGTCTTTCTGGGATGCATCCTCCTCGGCAGATCTCTCGTGTGTCGCGTTGCCGTAACCATATAAACCGAACTAATTCTAACAAGAGATTATTTATTGTGACATCGTCATAATGCCGGGCTGCAACTTTTCGTCACAATGTTCTTAGTTCTTTTAGTGGTGGTCTTGCACCCGTGCGCCATACTTTTCCTGTTAGCAATAAAGTCGTATAGGTCATATATATAACTCCGTTCGGGGAAAATTTTTGAATCAAAGTAACCGTTCTAAACCGAATGTTCGAATATACTGTAGTTAATCTGGGCCTCCTGTCCTAAGCTTTCCATATATAGTCTTGACTTTCATCTATCTAGCTCTTTTCTCGAAATTAAGGAAGGACAGATAGCTAAGGGAAGACAGTGAGATTTTATAGGTCTACAATTTTTTCAAATTTCAGCCCAATAGTTTTTCCATAAACGCAATATTTACGAGAGAACACTTCATGCATATTTTATACAATCTGTTGCCAAAATTCTAAAAAATTTATTATCACACAAAAGCAATTATTCTACCATTTTTACAAGATTTATTTAAACAAATCACACGAATCTTTCGGTCGTTAAGGTTAGCAACTTCGATCAGAATCCATCCAACACGGATCACTTTTCAAATATTCATAGTAGACCAGTATTAATTAGTAGTGGTTGACCATTCTCTCTCACAGGAGGAGGACAACTATTACTCTTTGTCAAATTAACTTCAACCACCATCCGCAGCACCATACCAACCTTAGATTATCTTAGGTTACCGGCTCCGTTTTTCTCCGAAATTTGATTTGTTGACAGATTCACAGCCGAATATCAAACGGTAGTTTGATATTCGGCTGTGAATCTGTCAACAAATCAAATCTGTCAAATCAAACTGTACTATTCACAGCCGAATATCAAACGGTAGTTTGATATTCGGCTGTGAATAGTACAGTTTCTTAAAGTTAACATTAGAAAATATTATATCTGAAAAATTTTTAAGATATATTTTCAATTCCTGTCTCCTTGACCATTGAATTGTACCATTCCGTACTATCCGAGTATCGCAATATACGTGACATTGGTAGGCTGAAATAATCAAACTCTTTATATGGTTTTCGTTTTAATGTTTGTTATATTATAGTATGTAGTATTTGATTTATATAAGTACGAAGGTTATCTTATGCAAGGGTTTATCACACCGAATGATCAATCTAACATTATAAAATTCTTTATTCCTGTATTGTACACAATTTAAAGAATTTTTAAAATGTGTTAGAGTGGTCACTCGATGTGATAAACTCTTACGTAATATAAACCTTTGTAAATATAAATCAAATACTATAATATAATAGAAAGATTAGAAGTACGAAATAACTTTAACGTTTGTTTTTTATTTTTTGCCCGAACAATGCCGGGCTTACCTACTAGTTTGATTTATGTTATGTTCTAAAAATAGATTAAACTTAAATTATTAACATTCAGGATATTTTTTAAAAAATGGCTCGTCATTCATCGCGTTGGGTAAATACAGTCGACCCCCTATAGTACTGTTGATAATTCCGTTTTACAGTATATGAATTCCATGTTGTACGAGTCACTTAGATTTTACAAATACATGAGCCGTTCACAGCCCGGCACACGTATTTGTAAAATCTAAGTGGCTCGTACAACATTGAATTAGACAATCAAGG